TTCTGAAAACACTATGCCATTTTACAGAAGGGTTTTGTACTTGGAGGAATTCTGCAATCCAAAGGAGGTCCTGATAACAACTCCCTGTGGATACCAGTGGACCACTGCATTTATCATTTGTGTGTGACTAAAATGTTCTCTGTCTTGGTAAACAACTTCATAATTGTCCAGAAGTTAAGGACCATGTGTATTCTCCCCAGAACCCAGCATCCTTTGTGACTCCCGGGAGATGCTGAAAAGATATCTGTCAAATAAAAAGTTGATAGAGGCAGTGTATCTCAGTGGGCAGAGTATTTGCCTAATTGGCTAAGACCTTGGAGTCCATCCCCAGTACCACGAGGAAGGGGGGTAAGGAGGGATGAATATTTTAAAATAAAATTTATTTGCTGAATATAGTGAATTATTATTTTGGAAAACAGGTTGTAGTTGTACATTTGAAAACCATTTTCTCAACATATTCTAGCATATTTTTTGCAAACTTATTTTTTCAAAGAATATGTTAGGAAAAAAATTTCTCCTTTAGGGAGAGAACAATTATACTTAAATAATACTAGCAGAATTACTGTGAGAATTGACTAGAAAGAGGAGAAATAGTACACAGACTGTACACTGTAACATGCTAAATAAATCTAGTTGTGAATATCATATCATACCTGGTTTAATTCATTTGTATTTCTTTAAGCAGACTAACTGACTGTTCATTGCAAAAACACAGAATGGATACTTTCATTTGGGTGCACACATTCCACTAAGAACAGATCTTGAAGGAATCTGCTTTGGAAAGGGGGTGTTTATTTATGCACTGATTGGATTCTCTTGTTAAGACCCTCCCATTGGAATGTGGATCCACCTACATCTTAACTTTTGTTGATATATGCAAGACACAGGGCCATCAAACGCTGAATGAACTCATCTCCCAGAAGAAAGGATTCCTTTGTTATGGCTACACTAAAAAGATAGCTAGCCCCAAGCTCACAACTGTTTGTAACTCCAGTTCCAGGGGATCTGACACCCTCACCAGTGCACACACACACACACACACACACACACACACACACACACACACACAAAGCTAGCTCCAAAAGAGCCAGAGAGTCTTTGGAAATTGTCTGCTTCTTAAAAATACACTGGCCTCTTCTTGAGAATAGATGAGGTAGGAAACTGATAAAATTCTATACAAAAGAGGTTTTCACCCCAGCGTCTGATAGCCCAAGTATCATTTGATTATCTACTTCCCTCTAAAAAGGGTGCTGATGGACCCTGACAGACACACATTAATATACCTAAAACTAGATATTCCTTCTAAACAAGTACTCACTTGGATGTGATTTTTCCAAAACCAGTCTGCTAATTTAGAAAGATAATCCTTCAGGATTTTGTATTTAGTGAATCACACTTAAAGTGTTTCCATGAAGTTGGCAACATAGGTCAACTGACTGACACCATGGTTTATTTTCTGCCAAGACATTTTCCGTTTACAGACCCTGCATACACAGCCTCTCCAGCATCACCATGCATCATCCTGATGTCTAACACATGCTTTGTAACTGTCAAAAATGTGATAAACCTGTCAGAGTCTACAGAGGGAGCTGTGAAAGCGACGAGGCATTCCAAGGTCTATCTAGCCAGAGACAGCATGAGAGTTGCAAATGCTTAGCATTGTAGAAAGTAAAAACCCCACCTTGATGTCATTCTGTAAATGTATGCTATAGGAATTTCTCCCAAGAAGTAAATATCTGTTAATCCTTTCTGGTTGTATGAAATTTCGTGTGTGTGTGTGTGTGTGTGTGTGTGTGTGTGTGTGTGTGTGTGTGTGTGTGTGTGTTTGTGTGTGTGTGGAACTTAATAGAGTTTCACAAGCTGGACACTCATAAATAAGCAGCACCCGAGTCAAGAAAAACATGGGGAGTCCATCAAGTTCCCTTCCAGAAACTCCTAACAACTAGAAACCTATCCCATGAATGACCAGTATCTTGACTTGCAACAATCTACATTAACTCTGCCTGTTTTTGAACTTCATATAAAAGTAGTCAAGCCAGCAATGGTAGCTCATGCCTGTAAGCTCAGCCCAGCATTCAGGAGGCTAAAATAGGAGGATTGGCATGAGTTCAAGACCAACCTGGGCTACAGAGTGAATGAGTTTCAGTTCAGTCTGGACTAGAGTCAGATTTTGTCTCAAAAAAAAAAAAGATAGGGCTGGAAAGATGTCTCAGCAGTTGAGAACACTGGCTGCTCTTCCAGAGGACCCGGGTTCAATTTCCAGCACCCACATGGCAGCTCACAACTGTCTGTAATTCTAGTTCCAGAGGATCTGACACCTTCACACCAATGCACATAAAGTTAAATAAATAAAAAAAAGATAGATAGATGATAGATAGATAGATAGATAGATAGATAGATAGATAGATAGTCATCAGTCAGTTATATAGTATGCTAATTTGTGTCTTGGCTATTTTTCTCAACTCCATGTTTTATACATCTTATTAATGTGTCTACAGTCAAATACACTGCAATTTTTATTCAATAATCTAACAAATATTTACTGAGCTCATATGTACCAGGAACAAATGAATCCTTTTCACAGATAACATTCTAGTGTCCATTTGTTTACATAAACTAAACAAATAAAATTTCAGTTTATTAACATGTCTTTCAAAGTTTATTGCTTTTCCAAATTAAACATCAACAATTTAAAAGATAATCTAAAAATCATTGTACACATAGGACAGAAGAAGAATTTTTTATTAAATAAACACAATTTCCATTTACCCCTAAATCCCCATTTGTTTGCTTGATAGTCTCAGTGTTAATGCTCCTGACATTGTGATTGAAATAATATTCTTAGGATTTAAGAATCCAAACTCTTTGGAGCAGTTATTTCTTTGAACCAATTTGTTCTCAGTAGCAGGGTGGTTCAAAGGAAATACTGAATCTGGATGTGAAGCCCAGTTTTGCCGTGAATCCACCATGTGACCTTAGGCAAGTTCCTTGACCTTTCTGTATTACTTTCTTCTACTACAAATAAGATAATGAACCTACAAGTTTCCTGAAGTCTCTCCCTCAAAAACTGCAGGGGCTGGAGAGATGGCACAGTGGTTAGGAGTGCTCGAAACTCTTCAGCTCCCAACACCTATACCTGGCAGTTCACAACTGCCTGTAACTCCAGCTCCAGGGGATCTGTCGATCCCTTCTGGCCTCCATGGGTACCCAAATTGCATGTACACACAAATAAAAATAAATCTTTTGGTTTTTTTTCATTGTAATTCAGTTTTTTCAGGTACGAATGTGTTAAAATAAGAGGACAACACACAAGGAAGCATGCCTCTCCTCAGTTAGAATTTAGGATGTATAGCTGCTACCCTGGGCTGAAAACCAATTCCTAGACCAGTTCACAAGGAGACATTCCTCTAGTAGAGTACCTTCCCCTCTCCCTTTTGCTCAATATCTGAAGGGGGTTTCTGAGGGTTTCACCCATGTGCCTTAGAGACATAGCTCTCTACCACACCCAAAGGGTACAACACAAATATGTTTTCCTTTAGGACAAAACTCTTTGCATTTGGAGGAGTACCAGCCAGCTTTCCATCACTGTAACAAGATACCTAAGAAAATCAACAGATGAGTGTGGAAGGTTGCCTTTGGCCCATGGTTTCAGAAACTGCAGTCCACAGTTGTCTCACCCTGTTGCTCTAAGCCTGTGGGAACACAGCTTATCACACAGGAGCACACGGAGGAGGAGGCTGCTCTCCTGATGGAGGCCAGGAAGCAAGAGACAATGGCACTTGAATCTCACTATCCCTTGCAAGAGTGCACCCTCAATGACCTAATTTCCTCCCACCAGGTTCTGCCTCTTTAAGGTACCACCACTCAGTAGTGCCATGGCCTGGCAACCAAGCTTCTGGGGGTGGTGTTTAAAAGCTAAATTACAGCAGAAAGGTCCAAAATTGGCTCCATATTTTAACTTATCCTGGAGTCAGGATGGAAGAGCCATGTCTGGTCTCAGTGGCCACACTAAAACAATGAGCAAAACCAGAGGCTGTAAATGCCAGCTGTTTCCCAGACAAGTCAGCTAACTGGAAGTGTTGCCCTGGAAACTACTTGGTGAACTAATGGGTCTCCCCACCCCTTCTTTCTTTCTTTCTGAAATGGGGTCTCCTGTAGCCCAAGCTGGCCTTAAACTCACTAGGTAGCCAAGGATGGCCTTGGATTCCTGTGCCTCCAGCCTATATTTCCCAAGTGCTAGGATTATAGGCATGCAGTGCCACTTACACGTTTTAATTTTAATCATTAAGCTTTAAAAAAAACTATCCTTAGGGGGTTGGAGAGATGGTTCTGTGATTAAGAGCATTTACTGTTCTGTCAGAGGACTCTGGTTCAATTCCCGGCACCCACAGGACAGCTCACAACTGACTCCATTGTCAGGGGATCTGATGCCCTCTTCTGATATCCAGAGGCACTGCATGCATATGTTGCCCTGACATACATACATGCAGGCAAAACACCCATACACATTAAAACAAAACAAAACAAAGCCATACTTAATACACATAAACAATTTTTCTCTGTATCCTCCTCCCATGTGTCTCTGAATGGGAAAACTAAAGTATTTCTCAAATTTAAGCAATTTTAAAAAAAAATGAGAGAGAGGCAAAGACACAGCTCAGTGGTAGAGTGCCAAAGGCCTGGGTTCTACCCTCGTCCCCAGCATTTTAATACATAAGTAAATAACAGAAAAACGAAGGTAAAGATCCAAAGGATGTTTATAATGTTGATAGACACAAGAGAAGATTCCCTGTTTTCTGTTTGGTGAGGTCTAAACTCATGGACTCATTTTAGGAACATCAATTGGGGAGAGCCAAAGCAGACCCAGACCCAGTGGACAGGGCTACTGTCATTCACATGGGGAAGGGGCAAACATTTGAATCAACCCCTATCCTATTTTGAGTTTATTTGAGCAAGAAATATATCAACACAGATTTTTTTTTTTTTAAGTCTGAAAAGGCAGTCACTACTTACGTAAAGCAAACATCCAAGAAGGAAAGCTCCCAGCCTGAGCCTGCAGTGGGAGCTGAGGAAGGCGTTGACACAACTCCGAGATTTCATCTTCCAAAGGACAGCCCAACTCCCGTGTATACAGGGAAGACCCGGAAAGGTAAGCAACAAGACACATTGCGTAATGACCCACAAGGGGGGAAAAAGTGCTTTCTGGGGTTGAGGTCTTTCAACTCCAAATTCTTGCTTCAGTGGTTCTGTTGAGTCACAGCTGTGCTCCGCGTTGGCACGAACCAAAAATAACATGACTAACTGCAAAAGGTGACAGGGTTTTGGCCAGCTTTTTATGGCCACACAGCAGTACCTTTCTGTCGAGTGGAAATGTAAATTTAGCTTGTAAGAGAAATCTTTCTCAGGCAGGTTCAGATTCAAAGTCGTCTGAGGTTTGCCCAGAGTGTCCTTTCGGCTCCACTGCAAGCCAGAGGGGGCAAATAACTGAGGTACATAGAGAGCCAGAATGCAAAGAGTATTTGCCTCTTAGAGGGGCTCTGGACATCCTAGGCTGGACACAGCCTCTGATGGAGAGAAGGAAGCCCTCTAGCAGAGCAATGTAAATGAGCCCCACATCTGATTTCCATTAGAAAACATAAACCCTTTCCAGAATCTTTGCCTTGTCTGCCCCCTCCTTCCCCCCAAATGGCACTACGGAGCACTTCACTTTTTCCAATCATACAGTGATATTTGGAAAGTTCCATTTGCTTCCATTAAGAAAAATACAGAGAAGGGAAAAAATACATAATAGGCATCTATCATTTTGTACGTGAGGCTTGCTTGGTTATGGGATTTTCCCTCTCTCCCCCACAAAAACAAAAAACAAAAAATGTCTTGTCTGTTATATGACTAATTTGGGTATCGTACTGGTCAGCCTGCTTTTCCCTAAACAAGTGGTTCTATATTCCATGACAGATGCTTCCCTTTGGCTCAACAAGGGTTTATTCTTGCCTTCATCTTTCTTTTATCCACTATTATCATTTATTCACTTTATCTCATGGCTAACAAGTATTGATTAACTTTTTATTATCCTGTAAGCACTGGAGAGACGAAAGCAAACAGCATCAGACATTGTTCCTGCCCCAGCAGAAAATCTAGGAAGATTAGCCACAGGAATCAAAGAATCACAAAGGAAGTCTGACAATTATTTTAGCTTCTGTAATATGAGGGAAGCACACGCGCTTATTTCCTCCTCCAGCCTTGTTTCACTTAACAGCATGCCCTCCAGTTCTACCCATGTTGCAATAAATGACAGGATTTCTTTTTTTTTTTCATTTTCTTTCTTTGTTTTTTGTTTGTTTTTAATTTTTGAGGGGTTGGCAAACTGGTTCTCATCACATAGCCTATGCTGTCCTCAGATTCTTGAATGCTGGGGTTATAGCATGTACCACCATTGCTGTGGGAAATCCTCTTGACCATTGTAAAGATTTGTCATTCAAATTGGTTTAATAAAATGCTCATTGGCCAGTAGCTGGGCAGGAAGTTAGGTGGGAAAGCTAAACTGAGAATGATGGGAAGAAGGAAGGTGGAGTCAGGGAGTCCACAGCCAGATTCAGAGGAAGCAAGATGAGAATGCTGTACTGGGAAAAGGTACCAAGTCACATGGCTAAACACAGATAAGAATTATGGGTTAATTTAAGTGTAAGAGCTAGTTAGTAATAAACCTGAGCTATCAGCCAAGCATTTATAAGTAATATTAAGCCTCCAAGTCAATAATTTGGGAAGTGGCTGCCAGGTATTTGGGAACAGGGTGGGACAGAGAAAAGCCTCCATTTATACACCATGCCAAGTTTTATTTCATTCTTTAAAAAAAAATTGAATATGAATGTTTTGCCAACATGTATGTCTGTGCACTGTGTGTGTGCCTGGTACCTTTAGAGGCCAGATGAGGGTGTCAGATCCCCTGGCACTGGAGTTACAGATAGTTGTGAGCTATCATGTGGGTGCTGGAAATCACACGGGTTCTCTGGAAGAGCAGCCAGTGTTCTTAACTGCTGAACCATCTGTCCAGCTCCTTTTATTCTTTTAATGGATAAATAATATTCTAATATATGTAAACATTTTAATCTATTATCTGTCAAGGAATACCTTAATTGGCCAATTTGGCTGTCAGAAAGAAATTCTGCACTGGATGTGCATGACTGGAATCCCGGTAAGTAGGAAGCTGAGGCAGGAGGATTAAGACAATGAGGCTAAACAAAAGAAAAACCAAATTATTTATTCTGATCTAATCATAATCCATTGTATATGTGAGACAATACGATAATATAAGCATACATATAAGCATCATTTTTTTAATTTCTAACCAAACAATTGGCATTAGTACCCCAAAAGGAACCTCAAAACTTTCTAAAGAACACTGCTTAGACAGGATTGGACCTAATGAAGGTCAGAAACACCATCTTTAAGTTAAGTAGTATTCAATCAAATACCTAAAGTGAAAGGTAGAGCTAACTGACAGGGAGGAACACTGCTCTGTCTGAAGTCTGCAGGAGAATATGTTGACTATTTGAAGATCCAAGGTCTAGGCTGTGTAAGAGCAAAGCAGAGACCAGAAGGTAGAGAGAAGACTGGGGAACCGGAAAAGCCAGAGACCACACAAGGCCTAAGTCAGTCATTAAATTAGTCATTCTTCAAGAAAATCAAGAAGCCATTAAAGGTGTTGTAAGTAGTGGGTAACTATCACAATTTGGTTGTACATCTGTCATATGAACAAATAATTGAGTAAAAATAAATGAATAGCGAACACACTCAGGGGTACCCTCCAAATGAGTTATTGCCCAAGTTACTGATTACTGCATGAAAATATGTATTGAGAATAAACTTGGCCCATGCCAGATTATCAGCAAAGACAGACAATGATTCTTGTCTTCATGGCTACAGAAAGCCCGGGTAACGTTCTTTATTAGTCATGTTGGTTTGAGCCAATTCTGACCCATCTGTTTTTAAAACACTGGGGAGGTGCTCTAAACTGGACCAAGGCCCTCAATGAGCCAAGGAGCCCAAGGAGCTCTGGGTGTCTGTAGATGGAACCCCTGCAGGAAAATGCAAAGGCAAGAGGCAAATCCCCAAGCCATTCACAGTATGCTAGTTGGACACAGTCTCTCTGAAGGTCAGGTGTGTTCTACTTGGACAGAAGGGCTTCAGCTCTTCCAGAGTTACAGGGTATGTCATTCTCAAATGGAGTTCCTCGAGAACCTCCACTATCAACCCTTTGGAGGTCCCATCATCCATATCACTGCCCACACCCTGAAATTTTGGCTCCTGGTATCTCTTGTCCAGTTCTTTCTAGCTAAAGCCTCCTGAGTCTTACCCACAAATATATCCTGCCATTGGAGGATGTAAATACACTTCTTTGAAGGGCAAAGTTCTTTTAAAGAGTTTCACTTTTTCCCCCCAAGCACCAGTGATATTGCTTTGCAGGTAAAGGTACTTGCTCCCAAGCCTGACAACCTGAGATGAAACCGTGGAACCCGCAAAGAAGAACAGAGAATCAATGCAAGTTGTCCTTTGACCTCTACACAGGCACCATGGCGTGTGACTCTGCCCTGCCACACACACAATAAATAAATAAGTAAATGATAGATAAATAAATAAATGTGAAAACATTTTTAAGAATGAAAAGGACAATGATAGGCAAGGCCCTCCTTCCTAAGTCCAAACACAAAAGGAGTCCCTACAGAACTGCCCAGTTCAGCTGTGAACATTCACAAAAATCCATCAAACCAAACATGTGCTCAAAAAATATCAAGGAGAACACTCTTGGCACAGCATTGGGAGCCACGATCATGCTTACAACTGCTGCTATTAAACTAAGTGCTCAGGGTTGGTGAGAGGCTCAACAGAAACAGGGGTCTGCCTCCAAGCTTGATGACCCAAGTTTTAGCCCCAGGATCCACATGGTGGAAGGAGAGATTTGACTTCTTCAAATTGTCCTCTGGTCTCTACTTGCCTGCCATGGTGCATATGTCCATAAACATACATACACACACACACACACACACACACAAATTAAATAAAACATGACTTAAAAACAAAAAACCTTTCTCAACACAGCTCCCTACCTTCCCTGATTGACTTAGAAGTTAGTTCACGTCCCACATCACCGGGCCCACGGGAGAACCAGGCCCGAGACTCAGCCAGGATCTTTGCCTTATAATACATTACTACAATCAGGGACATATTAAGACACTTGTGGGAACTAGGCATTGCTGATCTACTGCGCCTTCCTATGTAAAAAAAGAAAACACACACACATGATATTTGTAAAACATATGTTTACTGAGTCCAAAAAAGGGCTGGTCACCAGATGGATGAGAATGAAAACATTCCTCAAAGATACTGTTGCTCTGAGATCTTGCAGGGTACCATGGCAGTGTGGTTGTGTTCATACCAAGTCCATGACAAAAGTGTATGAATTACATGTGCACACATGTGTGTATATCTATACATCCTTCAGTTGGCACAGAGGATGATCAAGTCTTTTTTAGTCACGGTTCTATTGCTGTGAAGAGACACCATAACCAAGGCAACTCCTAAAAGAATATTTAATTGAGGGGTTGCTTATAGTTTCAGAGGTTTGGTCCATCATCATCAGGGCAGGGAGCATGGATGTACACAGGCAGAATGGTGCTGGAGAAGTAGCTGAAATTTCTACACCCTGATCTGCAGGCAGCAGGGAGAGAGACTCTCAGCTAGGCATAGAGTTTTGAAACCTCGAAGATTACCCCCAATGACATGCTTCCTGCAACAAGGCCACACCTCCTAACCCTTTTAGTCTTTTCAAACAGTTCCACTCCCTGGTGACTAAGCATTCAAATATGTGAACCTATATACCAATCTGATTCAAACCACCACAAAAATGCCTTACTGAAAATCGCATAGTATCATGTAACGCCTGGGCACATCTTCCTGTATGCTTTCTTTTAAAAAACTATTATTTATTTATCCAGTTATCTGTCTGTCTGTCTATTGTGCATGTGCGTGTGCGTGTGTGTGTGTGTGTGTGTGTGTGTGTGTGTGTGTGTGTGTGTGTGTCTGTCTGTCTGTCTGTCTGTCTGTCTAGGCTCCAGCACACCACTGACTGCATGTGGAGGTCAGAGGACATACTTGAGGAGTCAATCTTCACTTTCCACCTCATTTTGAGGCATGGTCTCTCTTGTTGCTTCTGTAGCTGTGCTTCATACCGGCCTGAGAGCGTCTGGTCGATTATCATGCCCCTGCCTCCGATCTTGCTACACAGGTGCTGAGGTTGTAGATGCCCATCCCTGCATCTGACTTCTTAGGTAGGGGCTGGTGACAGAACTCAGACTGCCAGGCTTGCATGGCAAGTACTTTTATCTACTGAGCTCTCTCGGGCCCCTCCTGTATTCAATCAGCTATGGATGGTTTTCCTAATAGAAGCTGTACACTCCATAATTGGCTGTCATACTGTATTTTATAGAAAATAATGACAAGAAAAAAGTCTGTATATGTTAGGAAAGATGCAATTTTTTTCCTCCAACATTTTGCATCCTTTTAAAAAAATTGAATCTGTGATGTAGAATCTGCAGGTATGTTTTGGGGGCAGGGAGTACTGACTGTATCTGTAAATTACATGTTACAACTGCATCAGTGCAAGATAAATATTATATACATAAAGACAAATCTTTTGGCCCTAAAATTCATCTTTTTCTTCAGATTTTAAAAGAAATGAAAAAATTTCTGTAGAACCCAAAGAAATAAAGGCCTTCTGCGATAGCACTTGGATGATGCTTGGTTGTGTGAATACCACTGTTACACCTCCCCACCACCCTGTGAGTTCCCAGAGAAAAGGCATCTTTGGTGCAAGTTTTCCTCCTCACCCTTAGCAAAGGGCTGAGCACTGAAGAGGGTCTCGGTGAATGCTGTGAAAAGTGAATTCTATGAGGTGAGTTGGGTCAGCTGAGGTAAGCCTGTCTGGGCTCCATGCTCAGAACCATCCCATGTGGATGTAATTAGGCAGACTACTGAAGAACAACAGGACCAGATCTGAAGTCTCTCTGTGATGCTGCACAGTCATACAGATAACGGAGAGGCTCCTAGCCTTCCAAGTTTTGGGTTCCCCACCACAAAATGAAGGGTGGTAGAACTGTGGTAAAAGCCAAAGAAGACAACACAGAGAACTCAGGCCAGAGTCTGGTACATAATCAATCTGTACTTAATGTATTTATCATGTCTCTCCTCATCTGCATAATAAAAACTAAGCAAATTTGTACTGTCATTGTGAGAATGGAGTGAGACAATAATGGCTGGTGTGCTTTATTGAGACACAGCAAGAGAATGTAAGACAGTATAATGCAACAGAGGACCCAAGTCTGTATCCCAGCTCCCAAACTCACTAGATGGATGCTGTGGTTTGGAACTTGGGATGCCTCCAAAAGGGCCATGCATTGAAGGCTTGCCCCCCAATAGTAGAAGCACTGGGAAGTGATAAAACCTCTAAGATGTGGAGCCTATTCTCCAAAAGATGGAACCCATACCCAGCACTGTTGTCAGGGCCAAGAACCTGTGTCTGGACAGACTATAGGCCCTAGGGAAGAGCTAATACTATTACTCTGCTAAATGGGTATACCATTAAAGTAATTCCCCATGCTATATTGCTATATTTATAGATCAGAGCATCTCTCAGCCCTCATCTGAGAAGCTTCTTCTTACAATAGATGGCAATTAGCACAGAGACCCACTGTCACCACACAGAGAATAAAAGATTCCAGCGTTCAGCCTTAAATGGGCACATCTATACCATACCTCTCCCCTCTGAGGCTCAGGATCTTTGAGGAAAAGGGAGAAGGGTTGATCCAGAGATGGTGGATGACTTCAAGGAAACAGTACTTTCTGGCTAGGACAGGAAAGTTGCACATAAGAACAGAGATTGTGACAGCACACCCAGGACCTGTGCATGCTCAATCCAGGCAGAATCCCAGCGGGGAGGTGGAAACAAAAGAAACAGAGGCGGGGCCTAGAGGGAGGAAGTTAGCTTATTGGCTGTGCGCCATGTCATCAAAGGAGACTGAGACTCCTCCCGGTCTCTCATTTTGCCGCGTAGCTGACAAGAGGTGAAAATACCTGGCCTGCCATGTGCCCTCCCTATGATATATGGAGATCCCGGAGGCCCAGAGCAACAGGGCTTGTTAACCATAGACTAAAACCTTAGAAGCCAAGAGTCAAAATAAACCTTTCGTCAGGTTGTTTGCTTTGTTTTTTCCCTCGGGTCTTAGAAAGCTGACTCACACAATGGGACACTTTTTAAAACATTCACTGCATCCAGCCTCACTTTATTCATTCGGAATGGGATGATGGCTACCCTCTAGAACATGTCTTTGGGTTGCAGCAACATCCTGAGTGTGAGTAAGGAGCTTTGTCAGATCCAAGGTGCTTTAAGGAAAGTGACTGCTCAGCTTTGGCTGCTGATGACAAGGACCCAAACCAATCCGCTTGCAGTGTCGGCCTGACAGCCCCCATCATTGGTCTCGGCCCTCTTCCCCCAGTTCTTCTGGTCTCCCTCCCCATCTTTGTCTTCTAATTCTATTAAGTGGCTCTTGGTTCTGGCGTTGTTCCTTTAATGAGGTGGACCTTGGGTTTTGCTAACCTGGGGCCCTTGCTGTATATACCCTTTGCTAGCCCTATACTGTTTGCTAGTCCAGGATGTCTCAAAAAAAATGGCCTTGTTTTGTGAGAAATTTAACATCACTTGGCAGAGAGACTGTTCTTAATGTTTCTCACCTTTCAAACTGACCACTGCAGAACACACACACACACACACACACACACACACACACACACACATACACACACACACACACACACACACACACACACACACACACACACGCACACACACACACACACACACACACACACACACACACACACACGCACACACACACACAGTCTACTCATAAGATCATCATTCTAGGTGTCGGTGAGAGTTACAATAAAACAGAAAAGGCTGTGGTGGGTTTATTGTCGATGGCCAGGCGGCGGTGATGACTGCCCTCACTGCAGAGGACAGCTTCTAGCCCCCTAACAGTCACCTCTGACTTGTCTCTTGGCTCAGACACTGGCGATCCAGGGCAGTGACTCACCCTCCCAGAGGAAAGGGTGAGGCTGCTGAATGTAAACAGAAAGCCTGCAGCACCTGAGTCTGAGAATTTTGGGAGTGTGCTGTCTCAGGGAGGAGCTCTAGGCTCCCGAAAGGTAGTGCGGAGGCAGGGTCTGAAAGAGATCATTGTGGGCTGCCTCTCAGGACCTTCTCGGCTGCAGCGTCAAACCCTGTAAAAGCTGTCCTGTGGCTCAGGAGATAGCGCCTTCCAGTTTTATGGCTCTACAGGAAGATTTCCTCTCATTTCCATGGCAGCCTCATACAAGCAAGATTTCTCTTCTAGCCCATGCCATCTGCTTCCTCCCCTCCCAGCATACCTTCCTCCACACCCCAGACCTGCAAACTGGGAAGGGGAGCAATGGGTGAACTAGCAGATGTCTCTCTCACCATTAACCACATTCCAGTTCCAGGAACAACGTGAAGGACAGTCACTATGAAAAGTTCCAAGTCCCTATCTATTAGTGCCCTCAGGGGGCCGCCTTAGCTTTGGTCCTCTAAGAACCAGGGCAGTAGGCCCGTCCCCCACCACCCCCCCCCCCTACACAACCCGACAATGGATCTGGTAGCCTTATCTCTCCTTGATGCTCTGCCCATCACAGCGTGAGCCCTAGTCCAAGATAAGATAACTAAACAGATTCCCTGGGATGAAGACTTGGAAGTCAGAGATGGCCAGTTAGTGGGGAAAGGAAGAAACAGAGAACAAGAGAGAAAGACCAGAGGCAGGGGGAAGAGGGGTGGGTGACAGGGACCGAAAAGGAGAGAGAGGGGAAGGAGGGAGGGAGGAGAAAGGAAGGACAGGGAAATGTCAGTATAAAAAGGAAAAAAAGTGAGAGGAGGGGAGAGCATGAAAGGGAAGAAGGGAGATGATCCTGGCTAAGGCTCTCCAGTTCATGGTTGCCATACTTCCTCTTTGCCCCATAGCTTCTTCTGATTCCACAAGATGGACCTCTACCTCTGAATGAATTCTCACTCTTCATTTAAACAAGTTACGGTCAGTATCTGATGGTGTACCTATTGTAGTTTTGGCCCATGCCTTTCTATGTATTTCCCCTGTCTTGGCAACTGCCTCTATCCTCTGTCCTTCCAACTACACCTCCCCTTAAAGGAATGTGATTCCAGAATAGAACCTACGACACAGACACAGGCTTAATCGGTGAACGCAACCAACAGCTGAAGGTTTGTGATGGGCCATTCAGCCATCAAAACCAATGTAATATAAGGAGAAGTTTGAAGAGATCTTCTGGAACTTTCCAGAACAATGCCCTCCCTTACTTCTTGAGTCTTAAGGAGGCAGCATATTGACAGCAGTATTAAAAACAGAAATCGGTAACACCACCAAAGGGCAACTGGGAAGTTGGAAATGAAACTTATCATGGAAAGTATCATTAAACCACCAAAGCAAAGTGTTGCTGAAGTCTGCCTTCCTCAGATTGTTCAACTGGTCCCTGGAAGAAACGTTTAACTATGTTCTTGAGATGCTGTTCTAACACGCATGCTCTCAACTCCCGCAGTATCAGTGTGTTCTGAGAGAATGAAAATATAAGAGAAGAGTCTCTGACTGGAAAATGGGGCTTCCAAGATACTAGTTTTCTTTGCCACTAATTGCCTATGAAACCTCAGGCAAATGATACGCCTTCAAGCCCAGTCACTCACCGACAGAAGGACTCGAGTCCAGCATAGCATTCTATGACTTTTTCTATAGGCCCTGAGTGCCAACATTTATCAAATCCCATGAGGGTAGTTTATAATTATATGTATGAATTATACCAGCTTCTCACTTAGAAATGAAACAACAGCAAAGATAAAAGCATCTAATTTCCATTGAACCTCTTACCATGAGGTAAGGAACTCAGAATTGTAGCGATGAAAGGCAGAGAGGGGAAATGAGAGAATCTTCCAGCTTAGCCCTGTTTATAAAAGCCAGTTTACAAAAAAATCATTCCCGAGTTATAATAACCAAGAAATCCATGGCTTGCCCATCCTCTCACACCCCCACACCCCCCACATCCCCACCCCTACCCCCCCCACCCCGCCTGCCCACTGACCACACCCAGCTGGGGAATATACTTCCCTTGAGCTGTGGTGTGGCTGGCTGGAACAATGGAAGGAGTGGCTGGCCCAGTGCTCTGTGAAGGCATCTCAGGGTGTGATACTGAATTCAAACTCTGAGTTAGCCAGAGGATGTGCTATTGATATTGTTTTTCAAGGCATTTTTTTAATTGTTAGGGATTGTGTTATTTCTGTTGTGGCTTGGTTACTGCTTAGAAAATAAGACCTGCCCCAGCCCTGAAACCCAGAGCTGAGATTCCAGGTTCTCTCAATGGAAAGAATAACAAAAACCAAACCAGTATAATTGGCTTGTACCACAAAGAGCATAGAGAAGATTGTGTGTGTCTGTGTGTGTGTGTGTCTGTGTGTGTGTATCTGTGTGTGTATATATGTGTGTGTTTGTATGTGTGTATATGTGTGTGTTTGTGTGTGTGTGTCTGTGTGTGTATATATGTGTGTGTTTGTATGTGTTTGTGTGTGTGTATGTGTGTATCTGTGTGTGTATATATGTGTGTATCTCTGTGTGTGTGTGTGTGTGTGTGTGTGTGTGTGTGTGTGTGTGTGTGTGTGTATCTTGGACCCCACCACACAGGACTCAAGCTAGGACCAGACCAGGCACATAGATTTCCTTCCAAATATTCAAATGTAGAGAAGGTTTAAGTACACGATCTTCTAGGATCCTCTCCCAGCTTTAATATCACCAAGCAGAAGGTCAAATATGAGCTCAAAGAACAAAGCAAGAAAAGTTCCCAGGTCATTTTAGGTTACTCACCAAGGATGTATCATCTGGCAGGATTGGTGTATCAGCCCAAGTTTAAGACCAATGTCTAACCATGCTTGGGAAGATAACACTGGAGAAAAATATAATAGATGCAGTATGGTGTACATTTCCTAAATGCCTTTAGATTTTTTTAAAGATAACTTTATTGGACAAAAATATTTGCAATTCTCTTAACTTTCAGGTTCAAATTTAAGACCTAGAAGAAGCAGGAGCATTAGCCAGTCTGATAATCCTTATTGCTCTTGCCATATCTATACAAAATTAAGAAACACAGTAATTTGAAATATAACTAAATGTCCCACTAAGGGTGCAGGATTCATTGCTACATGGTTCTATTCACACACAAGTTCAGAACCAAGTATAAGAACATAGATTCTTGTGTTGGCTAGATGTTAACCTGTCACAAGCTAAAGTCTTCTGAGAGGAGGAAGTCTCAATTGAAAAAATGCCTCCATAAGATTGGGCTGTAGGCAAGCTGTAGGGTATTTTCTTAGTGATTGATGGAGGAGGGCCCAGCCTGTTGTGGGTGGTGCTACCCCTGGACTGGTGGTCCTGGGTTCTATAAGAAAACAGGCTGAGCAAGCCAGTAAGCAGCACCCCTCCATGGCCTCTGCCTCTGCTCCTGCCTCCAGGTTCCTGGAGGCAGAGGCAGGCGGATCTCTGTGAGTTCGAGGTTAGCCTGGTCTACAAAGCGAGTTCCAGGAGAGGCGCAAAACTACACAGAGAAACCCTGTCTCAAAAAACAAAACAAAACAAAAAAAAAGCAGGCTGAGCAAGCCAGAGGAAGCAAGCCAGTAAGCAGCTCCTCTCCATGGCTTCTACATCAGTTCCTGCCTCCAGGATCCTGCCCTGTTTGAGTTCCTATCCTGACTTCCTTCAGCAATGAACAGCAGTATGGAAGTGTAAGCCAAATAAATCTTTTTCTCCCCAACTTGCTTTTTAGTCATAGTGTTTCACCCCAGGAATAGGAACCCTAACTAAGATTCTACTCAACTTGCTTTGGGGTTGAGTGTAGCTGGGCTTTCTTGGACTGCCAGCTCCCAAATAATGACATGGAGACTTCTTATTAAGTATGAAAACTTGGCCTTAGCTTAGTCTTGTTCCCAACTAGCTCTTATAACTTAATTAACCCTGGTGTCTCCTACAGGCTATTGGCCGTTCAGCTCTTTATTAAACCAATCAGAAGAAGGCGCCTTAGTTGAGACTCATCTTCACAGTGTACAAAATCCCACAGCAGTCATGGATTCATCACAGCAATACTAACAGTTCTAAAGGAGAAAGAAGTTGGTGAGGGATTTCCGGCAGGTTCTACCTTACCTCCTGAGTGTGCATAGTGAAGCTCATGACAGCTGTGGCAGTTCACAAGCTTCATCTGTGTGCTTCTTCACAGTTTACACTCTTATATATCAAGATTATCCAGAGATTATTTTGGGGGGGGGAGGGGAAAGAAGTATAGGTCATCAAATCCAAAGTCCTTATTTGTTTATTTTTTTTAAGATGTCAGGGGGTGGTACACCAACTGCATGTACCTACAGTCCCAGCTCTTTGGTAGTGGGGGCAGGAAAATCAGGAGTCCAAGGACTTGAGTTCGATCCTCCAGGATCCAAGTTAAAACAACAAAGCCCCCAACAGTGCAGTTATGGGTACCTGTAACTGCAGCCCTGGGGAGCCAGAAACAGGGGGACCCTCAAGCTTGCCAGCCAGGCAGTCTAGATGAATTAGTGAGCTCCAGGCTCAGTAGAGACTCTGTCTCAAAAAGTAAGATGGAAGGGCAGGCAAAATGGCCTAGAGGGTAAGGTCACTTGCTGCCACACCTAAGGACCTGAGTTCAATCCTCAGAACCCACATTGTGGAAGGAGAAAACTGACTCCTTCTTGCGAGTTGTCCTCGGATCTCCACATACATACCGAGGCAGCCATGCACCCACACAAATACACACACAAAAGGAAAGAAGTACAGAGTTCAATTGAGAACGACACTCAACACTGACCTCTGGTCTCCTCTACACATGCACTCACACATGTACACACAAGACCCCACCCCCACACACACACAAAAAAAAATAAATAAGACGTCCTTGATTTTCAATCTAATATTTATAAAGAGATCAGGTTTTTTATTCCTATTTAACCAGTATACAAGAAGTTTGACTTTGGGGCTAATTAGACGGCAGGTAAGGGCTCTTGCCAGCAAACCTGGCAACCTGAGTTCAATCCTTGTAACCCACAAGGTAGAAGAAAAGTCCTGACTTCTTCAAGTTGTCCTATGACCTCCATATGCATGCCATGGCATTTCTGCCTGGTGGGTTTTAAGGAAGAGATGGTGCTACCAATATAATTCTGCAAGTCAGTAAATTATCATACGTCCTTAAAAATAAAGCACTTTTGTGCACCATGGCATGTATGTGGGCACAATTTGCAGGACAATTTGCAGGAATCTGTTCTCTTCAACCATACGGGTCCAAGGGCTCGAACTCATCAGAACACAGGGAAAGCGCCTTTACCCACTGAGCCACTGAACTGAACTCTGGTGGCGTTCCTTTCTGCATGAATTACCCTTTCTGACACTTTGTCCATTTTTCTACTAGAATTTTAAGAATTTACTCCAAGGAGCTCTTGGCAGTTGATTGGCATTCTGTTGTAAATAAATTTGTTTGGCTTTTACTTTGTGAAGTTTTCTGCTACACAAGTATTTTTAAATCTAGAGTAAAATGTATGGGTTTTTTTTTAATGAAATTGGTCTTAGGATTGTGATTAGAAAGCCCCTTCCTACGGAAAAATTATAAAACAAGTTCTCACCATAAGATGCCATGTCCAGTTACCTCATGATTGCTTTATTGGATGTCAACCCTGGTTTGTCTGGAAGTGCTTAAGATAAAAAAATAAGAACCTCAATTTACTGAGGCTAAAATGAAAAAAGAAAGTTGAAATCGGCCTGGGAAAATTCTAAACATGAATGGACCGAGTTTTACATTTACTTATTTATTGCGTGTGTGTGGGTGCCCATGTGCCACACATTCTTGAGGTCAGAAGACAGCTTTCTGAGAATTGGCTCCCCCCACCACGTGAGCTCCTAAGACAGGCCAGCAGATTTGGCAGCAAGAGCCCTCTCCCACTGCACCATCTCGCTAGCCCCAGTTAATAAACTTTTTTCAAGTTGTT